ATTCTGCTATACAATTATTGTACATTAGTTTACAATATTTGAAGCCATATGTTTGATGTTTCATTTATAATTAATTTAAATGCATGTTATTTTGATTTTGCGCTTTTGAGTTGATGTGATGATGATGCAAATTAACTTTCAATATTATTGTATCCAACTCATAATTGATTTATCATGATTTTTTCAAAAAACTTATTCAAATTTTATGTTCATATTTAATTATATTTTTAAAATAAATAATAGAATTTCACTCAATTCAATTTAATTTTTTTTATTCATAAGATGAAAATATTATGCAGTTTATCTAATCAATTTTATCAATATTTATTTTTTTTTGCATATTTAATTTTTTGTGAATTAAGTAAGTAGATTGACTTTAATAAGACATATTTTTTCAAAAAATCTATTTGATTAATTTAACTTTGTCATAATTAAATTTTTTCAATTTGGTTGTTAATTTTTATAACTAAATTCCAAAATTAACTAATCAAGATCAGCAATTTTTGTGTCGATGTAATAATCTTGACTAAGCATTAAGCACAACAATATAAGATTTCAAAAATCAATATATTATCTTCACGCAAATTTAATATGAGAATTATAAAAATTTATTCAAACAACTCATAACATACATAATCATATTGTTATACAAAAAAATCATTCTCAAATATACTAATTTTTGAAGTTTAAATTAATCTAAATTCCACATAGTAATATGAAAAATTTGTATGTATCAATGTCAAATAATGTGCAAACTATTATTATTTTTTCGTGTGTTGCAAATTTTTTTTGATATAATTTTTTCACTAAATTTTTACATTTTTTTTTAACAAAAAAATTTTGATATATTTTTTACTCTTGCAACTACCACAAAAGTTCATAATGATTATCAACTTGTGATAGAATTCAAATTTAATTTACGTCTATGTAGCATAAAAACTAACAATGACATGAATTGAAAATATAATGTAGTTTTTTTAATTGAATAAATATTGTGTTGAATATGCAATTCATATTAGATATAGAATAAACATCTTTTCAATTTTGCTATCTATGTCAACAACAAAATTATAGAATGCTGGTTTCAATGTACATGTATATAGTTGTAGTTGAATTTCATAAGTATATTTGTTTGATTCAAAATATAAAAGAATATTCTTATTTTTAAATTGATGGCTTACAAAATCTTCATACAAATGTGATTGCTAATTTTTTCTAATAATTGTTAGTTACTTAAATGATCAATCTTAAGCAAATGCAATCTCAATTTTTAAACCAACCGTGAATAGCAATTATTGCATCTAAATTAGTCTAATATTTGATTTGTAAGTTCTTTGAAAATGTTTTTTTGATGGTGAGTGATAAAGTTCAAGATGCAAAAAAATTGTGACATTCTTTAACTAGGAATTTGAAATAAGTATCTTGCTTTGTTAGATCCACATGCTTAATATCAATTAACAACATCACATAGATTTTGCACTCGACATGTATACTTTTTGTGTACTTTGATGCAAACAAAATCTATGACAATTTCAAATTGTAGTTTTTCCAATAACTATCTAGTTGAGAAGAATATCTTCCTATGTTAGATTCGCATGCGCAATATTAATTGAGAACATCTCACAGATTCTACTTTTCATATGGATTTTCTTTATGAACTTTGATGCATCTAGTCATGTGCAAAAAAAATCTTTAAATGATATCCAAATTTGATTTCATCAAAAATCATTTTTTAAAAATCTTCATCTTACTACAAAAGTTTTTATTGTCGACATATTACATTGATGATATTAAAGATGTTTTTGAAGCTATTTGATGAACTTCGTCTGTCATGGAAGTACAAGCTAATGGAATGTTCAACCGATGATGCTATTTAACAAGTTTGCAAGATGTTCACATCATCTTGATAGATTTTGGTTTCAATTGTATGCAAGGTTTCATGCTATATGAACGAAAGTGTCAAAGGTTTGCAAGCACAAAGAATTACATTGCAGCAGCAAAAGTAAATTTTCCAATCTTTACTAGCTAGGTTACAACGTTGCATTTGTAAAACACGATTTTGACGAGTTGAGGTCAATCCATGTGCACAACATTGTTATATTTAAGCGTGGCAGGTCAATCTTGCTGATTTAATCAAATTAATTCAAGCTTAAGTGCTCCTTGCTATCCAATGATTGACAAAACTGAACTCACAATCAAAACTTGAATTTTTGCATGAGGTTAATCAACTTCTTTTTTTTGAATAGTTTGCAATCTAAACGAAGTTAAAGCTATTGTGATGAAATCAGTTCTAACATTTTGTCTCCTTGTTCAACTCAAGATCTTACAATGTTGAAAAGACAAAAAGTTGTTCAAATAATTTTGAATCATCAAGATTGTTTGGTCATTTTTTGACAACAAAATGCCATTGATCAATTAGTGGAACACACAAGCAACTTCTGAATGACGCGCACAACATAAAAAACTTTGCTATTCCTTATTGTTTGACCTAAGTGAGACCTGAAATATTTCAGGCACTAAGGATGTGTTTACTTTATTTATCAAGTTCTTTGAGGTATAGTCTTTCTATTTCCATACAATGGCATTATCTAAAGTGACTTCTTGGTGCTAAAATGGTATGAGTATCTTTATAGATAATCATAACACCAATATTTCTTGAAGTATTACTTCATTGTTGTTAAATTCGGACCTAATTGGAAAAAATATAAAAGAATTCTACTAAAATCCTTATATTTTGTATTTTTCTTTGACAATCTTTATTTTTTAGTAACACCTAAGGTTACTTATATAGAGAGCCATGCATATGATTCTATTCTATGTTCAAGTTAGACTACAAAATTTGATCATCATTAACATAATAATTGAAGTTATGATCTTATAGTGGTTTCTAGGAAGAACATTATTTTTTTTTCCTTTGTAGATAATTTTAATAATAATTTTTTTTCAAAACAAGAAAGTTTTCAAATGTCAAGCAAATAGATTCAAGTTATAAATATGCTCTGTACTTGCTGTACAAGGAATTAATTATTTTTTAATCAATCTCATCAACATGTAATCTCTTAACTTCGAAGAGATATAGACTAAAAAAGAGATTAGTCGTGAATACCGATCCCATTACTATTCTAATTCTTTGATGTCGACGTCATTCACAGTATATTAGTTGTATTACGAATTTAAACCGCGGCTTTCTTTATGTTGTTATATGTTGTTGTCCTTGTCGTTTGCACTTAATATTTAATACAACTTCATGCTCACACGAAATAATGTAAACACTTAGGTTGAATGATCTCCACGGAGTTGAGTCACGAAAGCATGCATCGAGTGCTACAATGGCAAGAATGTGTGCTGCACTGAAGTCGATGAGTCAAAGTTTCCAGATTAAGGTAAGAGGTCAGAAGTTACACACACATGGTGTTAAGTAGTCAGCACAAATGCTAAAGTTCAAGGGATGGTTCAAAGGGGGAGGCTAACATATCCTCATGAGGCCTTGAAGATGCCGGATAAGAACAATAATATACCATAAACATGCCGGTGTGAGCTGCGGTCGGTGCCAGTAACTGTGCCAAGGGGAGCGAATACAGGTTGCACAAAATTTTGAATAAGCTTGAGGGATATTAAATTGAGAGTAAGCCTCTTAACATCTCGGCTCGGGAAGAATTTGCGTCCCCTGCTCAGTGGACGAGACCAAATGGGTATTCGGCTAAAGTATCAGAAAGCTTGAGTTCGAAGTTATAAGCATCGTAGACAGGAGTCACGGGACAAGAGGACCAAAGTTGGCACTTCATGATGACTGGCGCGACCTGATGAAGGGGCAGAAACTCACGACGTGTATCACCGAGGAACGATGAAATCTAGTCGGTCGGAAATGGACATGGAAGTGTCCAAATCCTGTCTCTCATTGCTGGACAAAGTATTCAATGCCCACATCGTCATCCGCAGGAACCGTCTGAATTATAACAAACATGTTCATTGTTACCGGTGTGGTCACCGGTTTCATTGTCGGATGATACTAGGTTGTGAATGTCAACCCGTCGGTGTCCATCAGGAATTCGTCCACAGAAGACAGACAGGCAGACAGACAAGTCGAGTCAAGTTCTTCATCTGAAACGTCGCAGAAGGACACTTCTGTCTGAGTCTCGGTATGGCAGGAGGTTTACGGTAATGAGTTCGAAACAGCGACAGGAATTTCCAACACATTTCATTCATTCGTGTTCTATGTTGGGCACACTTGCTAGTTTTGTAAAGTACTGAGCAACTGGCTTCGGGAACGAGTGTTGAAAAGTTGTCTACATATCAAAGGCGATGAGATGTTCTGCTCCCAAATTTTGACCATCCTTCTAGTTTGGCGCTATGTTGTGAGTGTAATGTGATATTCATCACCTGAAGTACGAACTCTCAACCGATGCGATTCCGCATGTGATTCCTTCAGCCGAATGAGCCACGAGTTCTCAGCAATATTAAATTCGTAAGAAGATTTGGTTCCTACATCGGAATTGAATATCTCCCTCTTCTCGTGTTTTCTCGCGAGATTCCTCCAACAGTGGTGGTCCTCGTTCTCAATCATTTCCTGGACGTATTCAAGAGATGGGAGGGGCACGGACTGAGAATAGCGCATGCTTTCAGTCGTCCGAGGGGATACTTTCACTCTGTAAAGAGCGCAGCTTTTTGGCGAAGAAGCTAGGAACTGTCCCCCATGAGGCCAGTTCAGCTGATCTGAGAGGCTCACATACAAACACTTCAGCTCCCCTGAACCTCAAGTTTGCAGCTTTCACGTGGGACTGTAAGATCGGACTCTTCTACCGTGAGCTCTTCCACTCGGATAGCGACACAGCGAGGAGCACTCCCCGCACCGTCCCATGCAGCCGTCGTCACGCGGGCACGAAAGAAACACTTCCTCAAAGCACGAGAAAACAAAAGCAGGTCCGGTCTTGACCAGCCCACCCGCACGCACACCGGCAGTTCTCAGAAATGTGCTTCACCATGTTACGCAGACACAGTAGAATCGTGCAATTCCGCGTTCCTTCTTAAGAAGTTTTGATATAGACTACTGCCGAGCTTCTTTATCCACATAACACGGTGATATCTTGCACTGGGGATCATTGGGAGCACTTCAATTGGCACATCTGCCCGTGCGAAACTAATTTGTGCTTCACTAACTTCGTTGAGCTGATAAATCTTACCTTCAGGTGAATGGCTATGAGTCTCTCTCAAAGGGAGACAATCTACGTTGAGGCTTCGAGCTTCTAACTATCTATAACCTATCCTTTCATCAAATATTGTACAAGCCTAATCTCCTGAGACCATCATCATCTATGAACTTCCAATTCTGAGTGGTTCCCTTGCGGAAAGTTACAACAAGCTGGTGCAAATTTTCTTCAGCATATGCTATTCCACCAGAAACCTAGTAAAGCTAGTGAGTAATGAATGGGTGTCGGGGCTACTGATTGAGACTGCAGACCAGGCCTTGTTCACACTATACTATCTGCAGACCTTGACTTTCGTCTTGACAGGGGCGAAGGTGTGCGTTGACCCAGCTCTCATGCTCCTTGCTCAATTTTCTGGTCGTCCCACATTTGGAGAGAAAAGGATAGTGGTTGCATGGCTCGATGGAGTGTCCGAAGTAGCAAAACGGCGGCGCTGCATCCTCCCTCAGATTCATCATGTAAGGTTGCACTCCGGCCAGCCCTTGTGCTACGTACCCGAAAGTGGACCACCCACTGGTGACCAGAGTATCCGAGAAACTGAGCAGCCAAATATCGATATAAGCTTTCACAGCTTGGTCGTAGGTGAATCTCTCTGCGCCCTCGTACGCCATCATGTGCACGCTGACAAGACTACCATCCTCCGTGCCCCGATCCGTGTACAAGTCCCGCAGAGCCTCGTAGTATTCTCGTTGTAGGGAGGCGACGAAGATGGACGTGCCTCGCTCTGAGCCCGTGCTCTTCTTTCCCCGAAGGAAGAAATGCCGCGGAGCAGAGTTGTGCCTGCTGACATTCGGCACGATCCCGCCGCCCAGTAAGCAACTCCTCACCTTGTCGTAAACCTCGGGAGAAAAATCGTGCTGCAACTGCGCACGCACCTGCAACCCGACGAGCTTCCTCGAAGACAAGAGATAGGACTGGTATGTCCGCTCGGTTTTGGCCCAGATCGGGTTTGCGGGGAGGCACAAGAATCGGACGAGCTGCGAGAACAGATGAGACGGATTTGTGAAGAGTGGGTTTAGCTTCATCCACAATGCGGGAACCATCAAGAGCCGGGGCACGTAATACTGATTGCTGTTCCATGCAAGCCACTTGACATTCTTCAGACGTTCCTGGGTTTCTGGGCAGAAGAAGGCTTGATCTCGTCGTGACTGCTGGTGACGGAGGTTCAGATTGATGCCCACTTCGTTCTGATAGTTTTCTACGTCTCCGAGGGCGTGGAATGCTTGAGCTTCTGCGTATGGGAAGGATCCGGGCAGCTTCCAGGACGATGAGTCGAAAGGCTCACAGAGCAGGCTCGCGAGATGTCCTCGAGTGTCGATGAGCAGCACGCGGTCCGTGGACAAGGAGAAGGCGAACGCCGATACCAGAGACAGAAGACGGTTGCCCAGGCCTTCCCAGCCTTCCATGTATATGACGTACTTGCAATCGTCCTGAGAATTCTCCGGCTGCAGATCCGCCATGCTCTCCCACGTTTTCCCACTTGTGCAACGAGCTTGCAGAGCTTCGTACTCCAGGAGCGACCTTTCGAGAGCCGGAGATGAAGGTAGGCGGCGATCGTCGGGCCTGTACAATAAATGCCTTGACCTGCTCCAGCAGTTGTCCTCCGCAAATTCTTCCCGTTCCTCATAATCGGCACTCTGTTTTCTTCCATCGCTGGGTGTTTTCACCTCGATAGAGATCTTCGATTCTCCAGCAGGCGCTGAGGATCCTCTTTCACGATCACGTCCTTCTGACGGAGGCGCGAAGGGACAACTCAAGGACATGCCACTCCTGTCATTAAGGAACGGAACGGACACAACCACCAAGCTGACCAAACTCAGGAATACTAAACCTACGGAGGATTTGATGCAAGGAACCGCGCTGTCGTGAACTGTTCCAGTTTTGCTTCGATGGAGAGCTCTCTCAGGAAGTAGTGCTGATGAAGGTGAGATGCTCACCTTCCCGTACTGCCGAGATGGACTCTCATCACTGGCATTCAATGACCTTCTTATGGAACAAGACGTTTCCAGGACTGCAAGAGATGATACTGCCATCCGGGTTCCATTTTCAGACATCTGAGACTTCTCTTCCATCGGTAATGCTTTAGTCCCTGAATCAGGATCTTTTTCATGAATCCATTATGCAATCTCAAAACTTGGTCTGTAAAATCGATCACCGCCAGAACACCGAGGCCCCCCAACCTCACGCTGTCAAAAACATGAGGAAAACAGAGACACTATTTAGAAAGCCTGAACTCAAGGATGTGGTCCCTAATCAGAGACTGTCAGAAGTCGTCTCAATGCTCCAATGTTTCGAAACCCATTAAAAATGTAATGTCGCTCGTTGAAAAGAGATATTTGTAGGTGCATTTCACTTGACAGACTATGCATAAAGCATACTTCCTGTTATCGGTTATGAGAAACTTCTCTGGTTGTAAACAATGTTGGGAGGGAAGGTCAATGTTGTGGGATTGATGTATACAATGAGCACGAACAGAAAGAATCACCGAACTCATGTCAGCTCCAATCAAAGGCAAGTTTCTACCTTCGATGTGAATGTCAATCGATAAACTACACAAACTAAAGTACTGGAAAAGTTGCATGTGCAACGGAAATACGAAACATTAATAACCAAATTCCAAAACGGCAGACAGAACTGGCAATTTGGAAGTCCAGAGTAAATGGCAATGTACAGTACCAACCTGTTTTTTTTGGATACGAGTCACCAATCAACAGTCAACAACTCTGAGCTCCCTCGCTTTCTCAGAAGTATACATTGGTAAGGAATGTTTCCGGCTTCAATGAGTGCAGCAAACTCTGTGTAATTCCAAACATAAGCCGATATGTAACCCGATGCTCAACACAGCCGCCATCTTTTTCTGATCAGCTCCTACGTTCCGCTCAGAACACCACATTTCAGAGAGAACCAAAATATCCTTATGTGTCCGCATTAGACGTCGCTCGAGTAGCTATGTTCCCAATGTTCCCGCTCTAGTGTAGTGCAAATTGATGGAATGTGGTCCATTGGCCAGCATCACCACTTCAGCACCGTCGTCTGTCGATTGTCCCCCATATTTTCTATTACGTTTCAGATCTTCTGGAATCAGTATCAATCAAGGAATGCTCTTGTTCTGGCGAATCCTTGCACACCTGTTGCCTTCCCTGCATCGAGCACTCTCTGATTCTTTGAGCTCGGCATCCCAGATGCTACCAAACTTCATCGATAGCACGAAGGCGCAGTAAGCCATGGATAGTCTGCAACTGATTTCTTTGTGATAACATAGCCTTCTAAGCCGGCTCGAGAACGAGCTGAGGAAGCCCATACGAGTAAAGACGGGAGGTTCAGAACTCCCAGCCGTAGTATGCACATTCAAGAGGAGCAGCTGAGCTGCTGCTGCGGACGACTGTCGTCGACCAGGGCTCATTGGAACAAAACGCGGATCGATGACTCGAACAGCCCTACCCTTTCATGTAGCTTTCATATCAAAAGCACAAAGTCAAAGCACTGAGCAGTAAATGGCCTCCACACTCTCCACTACCAGTCCCACAAACACGAATCACAATCACAGAATGGAATTCCGTGACTCACGGAAGCAAACGACGTTCACAAATGATTGGAGCAAATGCATTGGAACTAAATTTCATAAGCGAGTCTGAATGCTGCTTACCTGCCCACAGTTCCCATTCTTCGAGGCATTGAGACTACGCATGCACGAGCCCACTAAATTGTCCGCTTCCCAACGTACTAAGCCACATTCTTACAACTGGCCACAGTTAGAATCGTAATGAAGTAGCGATGTAATGGTGCACGCAACAGCACTCCTTTCCATCTGAAACAGTGACAAGTTTGTGATCAACAGAGGATACCGGTAAGTGCATATACACCTTAATCATGATGATTGTACTTAGGTTCTTTCTACTGTACATTCGGATGGATTCACAGAGGTGATCGATTTCAACTTTTCTTTTCTCTGTTTCTGCTTCTGTACACAGTTGTCATGAAGAACATTTGTCGAATGGAACACCCAGGACGATGAATGTGAACATAACAGTACTTCTCACGTACCCACATGTTTAAGGGGACTTTTGACAGTTCATGTTCATGAGGATAATCTCTGGATGTAAAAAACAAAACCTTGGGGTTTTCTCCCATCAATAGAACATGTTTCTAGCGGTGTGATTTAAATGTTACTTGAAAAATTTTCAATATATTTTGAATGTAAAATTAATATGAAAACCACTTGCTAGGACGTTGTTTAAAGATACATGAAATTGAATGCATCCAACGAGCCCCGAATATAGTTATGTGGAAATGCATTATTACACATCAAATGCACGCTGAATGTAAATCTGTAAAGTTGCAAGCTTGGTAGTAGAATGGTAAGTGGATACAAAAGGTAACATCATGTGCATGCACTTGGGCCAGCACTTTCAGGATTCAAATGGTTGAAAGAGGCTTTGTATTTCCAAGGTCGTACCAAATCCACGACGGTACATGAACAAATATTAAGGAAGAAACTAATTATTGTACCATGACCTAAGAATTTGATAGCTTCAATGTCCGTTATGTTGTAAGTATACGTTGCGACGAAGACAAACATCGGCATTGAAAATTGGTTGCTTAGCATGGTTATTAATGAGTTAAAAAAAGGAATTCAAAATAATGCCTTAAATACCAAAGATTACTGCTGCTTCACAATTTAAAGATTCTCAAGATACTAATCTTTCAACGTACGAAATTCAGATAGTTTGATCCACAAAAAATACAAGCTATAATAAAATATTTCAAACATGATATAGTTTATAGCAATCAGTTAGTATCAATTAAAATAACAGACCCTTGAGAGTTTCTGTAAAAATTATGATAATAATTTCATATCAGAGTCAGGAAATTGACAGATGATGAAAAAAAATCGAATATCGAGTGTACCGTGCAACTAAAAAGTGATTTCACTAACATACAAACAAATATACATCCAAACATATAAAACTCGATAAGTTTGTATTGTCAATGATATTTTGAAAGATTTGGTATTAAGAAAAATCAACTTAAAATTTAGTAATAATCAGATAAATAATAGAATAAAGAAGTGAATATTGACTGGAATCCTATATTCTTGTAATAAACTAGGATTGTAAGACCAAGAATGTTCTGCTTATACTCGTAAATAACATATAGAATGGTCATAAGAAAATTTTGCTCACATTATCTTGATGTGAAGAGTGAAACCATTTGGATATGTTTGTGAAAGAGTGCAAAATATTTTACTATTTTAGAGTGCTTTAGGATCTAAATACAGTATTGAGTAATCTACTCAGACAACTTATTCCACTACTCTAAGAAGGTCACTAATCATTAGCAGAGAAAAAATCATCACCTAAATTAATACATATCGTATGTCCAACATTAGCATCTCGACATGGTAATATTTTACCGGCATCTCCCTACTATTTGCCAATCTATCATTTATAACTATACGTGCGCCGCTTATTATAATTAGTCTATCTAAAGCCTTATCAGTTTTCCTCCTAATATTAATCTTTGTAATGTGCTTCGTCAGTATTCCTCCTTAGTACCCTTCAGTCCTTTCCACAACGAATCCTTGTCCATCAGTCCATAACTTTGTGCAATTAATAAGAAGGCGTTGAATGCATACCAGATGTCATCTGCTCAAAGGATTCCGATATCCGGCAAGAATACGTCTGACCGATTCTCTATGTGGTTGTGAAAAACATACTGGTTCCAGTTGGGTCGACCCGACTTCATTGCCGTTCCAAGCCCCAATCCCCAAGAGTCCATGATCTGCCCCCTTTGTTTGAGTCATGTGTTACTTGTCTTGAGAAGAAAAAAGCTTAACGAATCTTATCGTCGTTTGTGAGCTACAACTTACGTTTAAAAATTTATAATTGGAGACAGTTTTGACTAGAAGCTCGGTTTTCTAGCTTGATCCGAAAGTGAGGAGCAGTTTTGGGACCTCCGATACTGGAACCTGCTTTGACGTTTTATATTATTTCAGTAGCGTGACTCCAAATCAATCGATCATCTCGAGGTTAGTAATCCCGAAGTTCGACAAATGTGGAGTATATCAGATAAAGTATGAAATATTTTATTTTGACTTTCATTTCATTCATTCTTTCATTCTGTTTACTATTGAGTTGAATATCGCTATAGAGTAGAACAACATGAAAAGTCGTTGTGAACTCACAAGATAAAACATATGATAAAAAACCTCTCCTTTAAATATTGAGAAAAAAATATTTACGAAAGAATGAAAACTTTCTTCTATTGGTGGTAGATTCCTCGTCTTCTATTTCCCATTCAAATGAGGCACAATAAATCTCATCTTAATCTATTATAAACATTTCAAAGATACGTATGGATGGATATATAAGGGAAGTCCCAAGTAGGTCTTCCGCTTAATGAACATGCACCTTAAATTTACAACACTGACTTAATACGACCTCCCTCATCGAACGGTAGAGAGGCAAAGATATTTCATAATTCTGATCGGGTCCTTTTCGAACAAAGGCAAATCTATTTTCAGTCTTTAGTATCTTTCAGGGTGGGGAGGGCTGTTAGAAAAGGCCAGTGCAGTGCTAAAATCTTCCCAATCATGGACACTTAAAGGAGGTCAAACATCCCAAAATGGAAAGGAAATATTCCGAGTACAAGTCGTCGAAGACGGGGAAAGCACGATCGGGAGGTATCGGACCCAAAGAACATGTCACAGGACGCTGGCTGTACAGCAGAGCTCGGCGCGGAACGGAATCTAACGACACTGCGTGCCAGACGGATGCGAACGGAATGAGGGCGGGCCCGGTCCGGCGGATCGCCGCAGCGACATGCGGCAGCATACGCGAACAACACGTCACGCAGGTCGAAGGCGGCCGAACTTCCGGCTGCTGCCGGAAGGAGCCGTGTCTCGACGTCGACAGAAAGACACACTCGCTGTTCGCGGACCGGAGGGAAGATCCGTTGCCATGAACAGAAACCCCGCGAGGACGTCCATGCGAGTGAGAGAGAGAGTCCGGGGAGAACATGGTGGGCCGTCCGGTACAGCAGCAGCAGCAGCAGCGCGCCGGAAGGGGGCCGACCGGAAAGAGGTGGGGCCGAGATCGCGATTGGTCGAGTGACAGGGCAAAGTCCACTCGACAGGCACGTTGTACGCTCGACGGGGTCTCAGAATTTGCTTCTCGTGTTCTGCGGCTGTGACGATCTGGGACTACTAAGTGCCCATGGTGCCGGTGACTCGTACGAAGAGAGGAGAGGACGAAAAGCGCCTCTGCCTCGAAGAGAGCGGAGCTCTCGAAGAGGACGAGGAGGAGCTCTTCGACCGAAATCCACCTCTGTTTGACTTTTTTTTTTCTTCCTTTCCCGAATGCGAATTCTGGACTTATCGATTGAGACTGAGAAGCTGGTCCGATTGGCCGGCTTTCGGGCCAGCTTGTCACCGAATGCGAGTGGAGAATTTGGATTCGAAGACTGCGAGTCGGAACTCGAGGAGAACGCAAGAAGTCGGATCCGTGGGCAGATCTGTGCGATTTGAAAAGCTTCGATGAGAGTTTCGGATGTCCAAGGTTCCGATGGTGCAGTAAGACTCTTCTGGTTCATCGGAGGATTTCGCAATGGGGGAGTCTGGTCACCTACCTCGAGTGAAAACGTAGCGCTCTGCGAGGCTCTCAGGAAATCCCGAGGATTGAAAGGGCGGGGAGAGATTCTCTGTGTGCGTAGATCTTGGAGTCAGGTACGCCCAAGCTGATCATCACTGAGTACAATGGACGATCTGCCACATTTGATGCACAGGATTCATCTCTCTAGCGCTTTCACTGACATTCGGAGTTTATTCTGTTATTCTTCCCCTTCGTGCTCTAGGATCGATGACGTTGATCGGAGGTCTGCGGCATTATTATTATTTTCCCCATGTCCTGGCATTTTATATCGCAATGTCAGGATTCAGCATCCACAACAAATTATTCGCTGCTTAGTTTGACCTCGTACCGCTGTCAATCAGTCTTGCAGCTTCTTTGGATTCATTTCGGAGCTTGTCGCTGTGACGCAGATAAGGTTGGAGAAGGGTTGTTGGGAAAGGGAAGGTTGTTGGAGGTGCCGATGAGCAGAAGAAGCTCTGATCACTTCGAGGCTGAATGACGGAAAGCGAATTCGAGGCAAATGAGAAGGGTGATGACGGTATCGAAGGGCAGGTCCGTCCTTGGCTTGCCGTGCTCTGTCTCGGTGGCTTCATGGACTCTTCTTCTCGTTCTGCTCCTCTCTTCCTCGTTCAGCCACATCCAGAGAAGCGGAAAGAAAGGTGAGTGGGTTTGTGAGTCGCTGATTCATTTTACTCAATACAAAATAACTGCATTAATTTTCCTACGCTCAATTGCCTCATGGATAAAGGACGCTGACAACATGAAGCTGCTGATGATTCTCAGCCACGGAGGAGAACATCACCGGCTCAAATGAATTTTTCTGGAATGCGAGGGAAGGGGTCGTACGCTCCCGCAGTCCAGACGGCTCGGATTCATTTCTCGAGAGGGGCCAGGGCTCCAGTGGTGATTACCGCTCGTCCGTCCAGTTTGCAGACGCTTCGGAGCAGGACTGGTTAGACACCTACTCCGGTTCCAAGTCGTGTGACCTCGACGACGACGAGGGAAGTGTGTCAGCTGATCGATCCGTATATTCACAAGTCCTCTCAACATCCTCAGGGAGCACACTGGATGCTCTGCAATATGCGGAGTATGGAGCCGGGCTGCTGCAAAAATCAGGAGCAGCGGAGGAGGTCACCAAAGTCTGTCGACTGAGTAGCGATGGTGGAGGTAGTTGCAGTGGGACGGTTACCGATCATAGTTCCTGCACAGGGCATGAGTCCTCTGCGCATCCGGTGAAAGGGGACTTTCTCTGCACAGGTGAAGTTTCAGCTGAAGAGTTTTGTCAGACGGTCGAGATGGTGGATTCCCATCTCGTCTGCCGAAGAATCACCGAGTTAGGGACAGGATTGCCCGAGATAGCATGCAGTTCTATGACAGAATGTTTCACGTCAGGAATAGACTCCAGATTCTGCTACTATGATGGCTCCTTGTTGAATCTGCTCCGTCCTCCTCCTGAAATGCATCGGAGTCCAGGTCAGTATAGATTGACTTGCTCGGAGACGGCCGTTGCTCACGAGACTTCCCAACCTGTAAGCACCCTCGCATCAGATCCTGAATCCAGCCTGATCGAGAGTCTTGAGGCAGATGACGAGTCCACAACCCTCACTGGGTATGACTATGATCCTAAAGCCACTGATATCCCCTTGCAGCAAGATCCATACTGTGAGGCCGATGTTGAGGTAGCTGTTGAGGACCAAGTTACAGAGGTGCCATTCCTGGCTCCAAGTGAACTCCAGGAAGTAGCAGACGAGGACGTTGGTCGAATATCGTCTGAAGGAAACCTCATGGATATTCGAAATCAGAGGTTAGAGGATAGTGTTCTATTATCTATGAATCTGTACACTGATACTGATACGCTTGGCCTTGGTAGCGTTGCAGAGGAGAATGGGGGAGCTGCTTCCCCACTCCCAAACCTCGGAATAGGAATCGTAGATGAGGTTCTGACTGAAGAACTTCAGCATATCGCTCATGCCATTGATGGAGGGCCTTTCAAAGACAAGCCCCTAATGTCTACCGGAGCGGACAATGGAATGCAGTTGGAGCCCGTGAAATTGAGAAGAGTGGGCTCCGTCATGAGTTTGGATGAGTACAAAAGGTCCATCCTTGAAAAACAGCAGAAGGTTGGAAACGATGTAAATTTAAGTGTCGTTCAAACTCAAAAACTGCGTCATAGTGATGAGACTTACAATTATGCAGCCTCCTCACATGGCGCGAAAGTCTTGAGTTCCAACAAGGAAGCGAAAGGACCTAGTCATATCATCAGTTCAGACAAGGACAAGTATCTTCGGAACCCTTGTAGTGCAGAAGAAAAATACGTAGTGTTAGAGCTTTCAGAGGAGACGTTTGTAGACACAGTTGTAATTTCCAATTTTGAGTTCCATTCGGCCAACTTGAAGGACTTTGAGATCTTCGGAAGTCCAGTGTACCCAGCCAAGGAGTGGATCCTCATGGGGAAGTTCCGAGCTGAGAATGTAAGGCACAGACAGAAGTTTAGCGTAGAAGATCCCCAGTTGGTGCGTTACATCAAGCTGAGAATGCTTACTCATTGGGGTTCCGAGTTCTTTTGTACACTTAGTGCAGTTGAAGTTTACGGAGTCGACGTCATCAAAAATCTTCTGGATGACTGGATTGCACACGAAGAGGGGGAGGCGGTGCTGAGGGCCCAGATGAGTGGTAGTGACTCGAGCATTATTCCAAATGCACTAGAACCAGAGGCATTGCAGGGTTTGGCGGGATCTGTCGATCCGTCCTCTCCTGACCCACCCACAGGTGAGTCCTCCCTCGAGATGTCCACCCGTCCAGACGACGGATCACATGAAAACAGAGAAAAAAAACCGGAGGGGTCTTCAAGAGACGATGAACTCAATGCTGGGGTGTTTGGATCGGAAGTTCATCATTCAGCAGGAGGGAAGACTCCTGGAGACTCTGTGCTCAAACTCTTGATGCAAAAAGTGAAAGCATTAGAGTTGAGCCAGACGCTGTTCTACAATTATCTCGAGGAGATGAATTACAAGTATAAAGCGATGATAAGTGAACTAGACAAGGATCTTGTTATGATGACCGAACGAGTTCGGGATGAGGCGGCCGTTTCAGCATCCTTAATGATGCGTCTCGCTGACATGGTATGGAAATAGAACCCGTATAAACAAAGATGATTTTTTTCACGGAAAGGTATACATACCGTTGTGCCCAAGTTATATATACCCTGCGCCATGGACACCTCATCGATGTAACCCATCTTCTCGACTTCGCATGTAGGAGCTGAAGCGGAAGGAAGAGAGAGCCTACTTGGAGCACAGGTTCGCCATGATAGCCATTAACTTCACCGAAAACGTCGATTTCATGAGGTCAGTGTCCTCCAGTTCTCCTTGATGGTTTCAGCCAGTCATTATTTTGTCCCTTCATCAGTTAATGTGCTCTCGCTTGAACTACTTTTAGGTGGTACTTAAAACGAAAGATCTTACAAGTGTTTTTCGAACCTTTTTAAGGAACTGCAATTTGAGATAGATCAATGTCTTTGACTTCAATTTCAGGTGGCAGATACAGAGCATGGAGCGCCGAGAAATCACAGCTGTGATTTTGGCCCTATTATGCTTGACTCTCTCGGGACTGCTGCACCTACTGGCCAGTTGCCTACCCACAAGAAGTTCTACAAAGAACATCATATTGCAGACGGTTGCAGAAGACACCGATGAGCTGGTTGACACTTGTAGAATATCGATGGTATGCAAACGATCTTCATCAGTAATTCTCTATCTTGCTAGTGGTCTGACGATTCTGGTTCTTACAGTTTGAAGGAGAACCTTGAGGAGGCAACCATCCTCCACGGTTTTCTGCTCAATCAAACTGCTACGAAGGAACGAGAGTCTTGCAGACATGTGCGGAAGCATCAAGCAATTTGGACGACTCTTTCTTCTTGAACAGGTTAATTACTCTGATAAACATGCCAAATCGACGGATACACATGATCCTGTTTTCCAGTGCTATGAGCTGATATAGAGAAATTTTGTGGTTCCCACCCTTCCATTGCTTTTCATTTCATTTCCGGAGCACTGGCCGGGTTAATATACCTGTCTGATTTTGAACCATTTTAGTGGCTCCTCCTCTTATACTTGATCTTTCAGGTGTTGGATGTCGGCCAAATACATGAAATAATGCGGTTTTGTGAGAAGTTTGAACGCATCTTTCATATTTCCAGAGTTTGGAGACCGAGGCTTCCCGTCCTCTTTGCCAATGCTCGAGGATATAAGTGCACTTGGTCCTGCAAATGAAGTCTCAGAAGTTGGAACACGCACCACCAAGTGAGTGTGCATATTTTTTTCAATTTTCTTCCAACTATTTAATATTGTTCATTCTCCTATGGTAAATAGGTTTGGCGAATTCAGTGGCAGTCGTGTTGACAGTATGCTATCTGCTATAATGAATAGCATAGTGCTCATGAGATAGATAGAATGAGCTCTCAAGTCGGAGAGGCTTTTCGATGTTGAAAAGTTTATATCATGCGAAATCAATGGACCGAAACGTCCTTCAACCATATGATAAATGTAATATTACAGATGTATTATACGAGTTGTTTCCCATCATGAAAACTACTTGATATCAAGTATGCGCAAAGAAATTCATGGAGTCCAATTGTAGATTGAAGTTGGTTGATACTGATCGAAAGAATTGGACTAGTTCATATAAGTGGGAAAACTCAATTAAGAATATGTTGCAGGAATTTATATAAATTTTCCTTTGCAGACTTTTACCTTTATGGTTAGATGTATGTTCAGTTAACAAGACTATCATAATACAAGAGAATTCGAAAAAAATGACAATGAAGGGCATGTTTCAACCATTTTGTGTCGCCATTTTACTTCACATTGTTTGAAATGGTTTGTTTTTCAACAAAAAAAAGGCATGTATGATCCACTCTCTATATAAATAAATTCCTAAAATTGATGGCACACTGAACACTATTGTGAAGTTACGGGATTTTCATTGCATTTTGTGGAAACAAATTTCGTCAGGTTTTTTCCTTTTATACTTGTCTGGAAAAGAAAACACACCTTTCCCGGACTTTCAGTTTCTGGTAGTCCTGATTTGTCTTGTTGACTTTTAATGTGCTTGTCAACCTTCGGAGATGGAATGATACAACTCTTTCGTTTATCATATTTGGCATCTAGGTCGTCTGTACAGACAGTCGGGACCTTAATTCGCAGCCATGATTATGTTCAACGGGTAAACATTATGCTGGATAGCTGAATAACCAACTAAGTTAATCCTAATAATATTATAAGCATCTAATCATTTAAAAACAGCAAATGTTTAAAGAGGTCATCAAAATTTGAGGAATGTAGCCACATTTTTTAAAGACTTGAGGCCATAAGGTGCTCCATAAAGACGTACATATCTAGTACCAAGGGAAGGCCTTAAAATTCTACGCAATCTTACGCTCGCTTATATCCTTTCGGCCGTAAGCTTACTCAAATTTTATAACATGAACTGTTACAATTCTGAATTTGAAAATAAATGCACACAAGCGGAGTCCCCAATTCTCGTAAGTTCTGGATTGCAATCATAGAACTGGAGCGTAGTTGAAAACAAGAGAAGACCCTCGAATTCACCGTGATGTAATCAGCTTAACTGCCGAGACTTGAAACTCTTATTTGAAGATATTGTAAAGAGATTTGGAGTTACAAATTTATTTTGATCAATCATGATGTATTCAAAAGTTTTTGTTGAGGCAGCAAGAAATAAGACATCAAACCGATACGATGAAACTATAAAGAGAATTTGGAAGCTTTGCGCATGAAACGATGTCCAAAAAATGATAATGTACCTTTACAAAATGCGGAAGTCACATGCCTGATTGCTCCAAAGTCAAAATGAAAGCTGCAGTGCCCACTTTTTTCACAATCCAATTTTTAGGAAAAAGGATGACCTGAAGAGATTATCGCATGAGTTGCGGAGATACAGAACATACCGCTAAGCTTTTCATAATCGAGAAAGCTGCTGTCAGCATATGACAACTTGTCTAATTTAATCTTGTAAGTGGATTGTAGATGAATCGAATAAGAATTGACTGCCACCTAAGCACAGTACTTATTGGTTTTCAAAGCATGTTCTTTTTCTTCTCGCTTAATCCTCGACATGTGCTTAGTCTCACACTCTACATATTGTTCTCTACATCACCAACTTTGTTCTTGTTGTCGCGTGATAGCTATTTTTTCTGAAGAATAAGATCATAATCGTAACTGAATAAAATGAAGAGAGAATATATCAGAGTATGATGGGAGGCTATGTTGTACAAATTGTGACAATGTCATCTGGTTGTGGATTTGTTTTGAGTTGTATTCACCTACAGCTTGTCTAATAGATACTGCAGGCCACACCATGCACCCTGACAACAGAGAAGAATGAAGGAAATTGGAAACTTTGTTGGAAATCAATTCACATCTTTACAGAATCTTATCACAATAGCATTGTTGATTGAATATCTTCCACCAGGAAACATCCTATCAGAGATACTTTCCGAAGAGCTTTACTGTTATGAACTAATTTTCCGATGAAGTAAATTTACAGGAAGAGGCGCTCCTTAGTTTGCTCCTCGTTCAGTTGAAACCTTACAGACATGTCATATACTTCACTCAAATTTTTTCTTCACTCTCGTATCCAACATACAGCCCATAGTTTAGAAAATCTCAGACTTCAAAACTCAAACTCACATGCAGTGAATCACTACTACATCAGTCACATAGCTGAGCAAGCTCTCGACTTAAATCTTAATGGATAGCTGAGTACCCTTTATGTACCGCACTGTGATTGCTCCAACTATATATACACACGCAACAAGAGTCAATGCTGCTTGAGTATGTACTCCTTGACATTAGACATAAAAATTCCAAAACCAAAAGATGAAATCATACGTACGTCAAATCATTCACCTGCTCAGAGTAATTTCTTAAAGTAGCTGATTGTTCATTCGAGGATCTCTACTTGTCTTCGACTCTTGTGTGGGTCGAATTAGGAAACTGCTGGTACATGAATCCCATATTTGAGACGCTTTTTAACACGAACACAAATGTGTAGTGATAGTAAGAAAAACAGTTCAAACGCAGTGGAAGATGTTTTTGCGAGGCTACTGAGCGTTTGCAGAGCGCTGGAGTGGCGTGTAGGGAGCTTATTTCTCAGACTGGATGAGGCTTATCAGAGAGATGAGTTTGTATCTATATAAAAAAAATTTGGAGACAAACAGTGAACAAGTCTTCGGAAAAATCCCGGACATGACTTGCTTGTTTCTCACTATCATCTTCTTGCACGAAGAACCGTCATGACACGGACCTGTCATGATATCATCTTTATCCTTGTAGGCTCAGGCTGTCCACCGTTTATGGTCTGAATTTGATTTTCAGTGGAGTCATCACACAATTGTACTCTGTTTTGAGATGGCCCTTGAGATATGAAGCTATTGAAATCAAAGATTCACATGGATTCACCACTTCTGAGCTTCGTGTCTTTCACAGGTACTGTATGTGATAGATTCCCCTTATGAACATACTCAAGGTTTACAATGCCGCATTGGAGAATATACAGAAAATCATAATAGTTTTGTTCGTGGTCTTCACTTCTGAGCTTCGTGTCTTTCACAGGTACTGTATGTGATAGATTCCCCTTATGAACATACTCAAGGTTTACAATGCCGCATTGGAGAATATACAGAAGATCATAATAGTTTTGTTCGTGGTCTTCACGTAGTTAGATGTAACAGGAAAGGGACTCTAGACTTTTCATCGGAATAACTGTCTTCAAACAGCTGATGTTTTGTAGGCTCCCCAGAAACGTTGCAAAGATGGGCTCCCCAATCGTTATATTGGTTTGTCAAGTTTGTAGAGAATGGAGGATTATGCGAGACAAGCAGCATCAAATCTGGATTACTTGCTTGCTGAGATGGCAAAAAACTTAGGTGGACTTGTCTTTTCGAGCTTCCCAGTACGCTTGGAAAATGAGAGAACTGGACGGGAAGATACAAGAAATTATATTGTCTTCTTTCTGCAGAAAGAAATTTGGAACGCTCTGGTGAGGGAGATGAGTAATGGAGATGAATGTTTTCAAGAAGATAATCGTACCATGAGGTTTTGATTTCTCAATGTGAATCAACAGAAATTTATAATTACGTTGTAGATGCCAACCAAAGGTAATGTACGAACAGAAAGGATCTTGCCTTGCCTAGTACAAACAGGAAGGATCCGATGGTACTATCGCTGCATTCAGGAGGTATGCGAGGATGTTATGAGGCACGAAGAGTACATGGAAGTTATAATTTTAGATTTGCTTCCAGGGATGTGCTGAGTCAGGACATTGCCCATTAACAAAAGATGATGGAGGCCCTTTTACAAAATCATCTTGCGTGTTATTGGATGAGTTTCTTATGCAATGGGCGGAAGGAGAAAGCTAGAGTGTTTCATGATTGGGTAGAGAAGGTGATAGGTGATCTAATCGGTCAAAACTTAAGTTTACCTCGCCGTTCCATAAAACAATCAAATCTTTTTGTATTGAATTTCATAAATCGCGTTGTACTTGAAGCGTTGAGGTAGCTCATATATCATTCATTCGGTACCAGATTTGTTTCCTCCGTTTGTATACTGATGCTGTTCGATATGCTTTCAATCATTTTGATTTAGGGCGTATTGAGATTATGAGCTATCTTAAGCCCTAAATCAGAAGATCATTCACATCTCCCAATTTTGAAAATATAAGAAGTTTTAGACATCTGCTGCAAATACGACGTTTCATAGTCAAAAGGTCATGATATATATAGCGATTGAAACTTAGTAAAACCATATAAGTAAAATCGTGAAGCCATTTCCTCGTATTCCTTCACAAAAGTAGTCAAATAGCGCACATTGCTTTATCATTGAAACCCTACAGCGCTAAAATGACGTACTTACAAGATGCATGGGCAAGTAAAACTAGACACTTATTGGATCATTCCGAAATGATTTTATTTTTATTTCCATCTAGATTTGTCACTGACAAATTTGGATCAATAATACTACATTGCGAATTGATGCATTAGTTGAATGCTCATAAGAAAAATAACATTCTACTTCTCTCGAAGATTGAAATCGAAAGAAAACTACTCAACAAGAATGTTTCTAAGTTTGTAGATTGGAAATAACAAGGAGTTGCATCTATGATTATCAGGTAACATTTGAATGATTCAAAACATATAACCTTTCTTGCACTAGAGATGCAAAGAAACTCAACTTGCGATGTCAACATTGCTATGTTTTAAATTTTGCACATTCAACATTTGATTCAAAGAATAGAAATTTAATTTATAAGGTAGTTAAATAGAACAAAAGACTGTTAAAACTAAATAATGCTAGATTTTTCCTATCACAATAACATTTTGAACAACGATTACAAAATGCTAAACATTAAGACTACTTAAGTTTTTTGTGAACTGAAATTTGAATTAATCTTCCTATTTATAAATGTTCATTAAAGAATATACCAATTGAATTAACTATACTGAAATCTGTATCTTGTAATGCTGATTTTAATTAACAATGTTGCAAATAATTTAATAATAAATATTGCCTTTATATTTTTGCATCAAATTTAAATGTGTTGTATATTTTAAAAATTTCTTATATTTATATGTCAATCAATAAGAAAAAATCAATCTATATAAATTACTTGAAAAAATTTTATATATGTGAAGAATGAAAATAGCAGATAATCAAATGAAACAAAATATATGATTTTATTTCAAATATATAATATTTTATTGAAAATATATGAAATTGAATTCATCAATCATATAAT